AGTCCTCAAACTTCATGCCAAAATTTTGTCCATTTGGGCGCTAAAGGGTTAACTTATCTACTACTTATCACCTATCAGAAAATAGTTTTAGTAGGCTAAAAATAGAATTTAACTTTTCGGCCCAGGGTGGGGCGAAAAGTTAAAAAAAAAACAAAATTTTCAAAAAAGGACAAAACATGTATTTTTTGCGAAAATATCAGGAACTTTTTTATTGAAAGTTGTAGAGGACAAGTTGCCCTACAATATTGATATACAAATATTTGCATCTAAGCGGCTTATATTGACAAAAAAAATCATTTATGCAAAATTTAACTTTTCGCCCCAGTCTCCCCTACCTATAAATTAAAAAATATTGTTTTTAGATATATTTGAAAATAGTGCTCATTAACGTTAATTTTCTTAATTGAACAAATTTAATAAATTTAATTACAAACGAAATTATTTTTTAAGTTTATTAATTTCTATATTTTCATTAAAAAATTTTAAAAGTTTGTAGGTATCATTAACAAAATTTATTGATAAAGTAAAATCTATATATTATTATAGTTCTTAAATAAAAATATTTATTACAATTATTATAGTATAATAAAGTAAACAACATTGTAACTAAATAATTTATTTCATACTGAATGTTTAAAAATTAATTTAATGTAATAAATACTTAATATATAAAAAATGCATTGAAATAAAATTAAAATTAAAAACAAATATAATTTTATAAATAAAATATAGACATTTAAATAAAGCGAATGTATTCGTTTGTTTTATTTAGAAAGATTTTGATATTTGATGTGGTAAGAGTTTGGCTTGTCGTTAGTTGCGTTCTATTGTCATCTCATGCTATCGCTGGTCATCTTTTTGGATCCCTGGCCGTCTCTTTCGATTGATTTTCGTCTGATTTTCACTGGATCTCTTGGATCTTAGTGAAAAGCCCCTCAATCGCCGTGCTAAAAACGTAGAAATCTATTTTAGACACGCTCTATTTCCAAAATAAAGTAGTCCTGACAAGGTGACCAAATAATCGAAGCAAAATCAATAATAGGCCTTACCAAAGAAGAAAATAATAGCTTTATGGCGTTTATATTTTTAAAACGTGAAATATTTCTTAAAACAAAACCCAAAACTCTAGTTGCTTTACTTAAATGGTAAGATGAATGTGATCAATAAAAGTAAGCGATTGGTCCAACTGAACCCCAAGATCACGCACCAGGGTCACTCTAGCTAATTGTGAATCACCAATTTTATAATTACAAATCAAGTTAACTGTCCGTCTTGAAAATGTAATGACACTACACTTTTTCACGTTGAGCAGCAACCTGTTTTTCACAGACCACGTGTATAAATTGTTAAGATCAGATTGCAGATCTAATCGATCCTGATCGTCACAAATTATTTTGTACAATTTTAGGTCGTCTGCAAAGAAAAGGAATTTACTGTGTTTAAACAATAGTGTAGTGTCATTAATAAATAAAAAAAAAAGAAGTGGACCCTATAGCGATCCGTGGGGGACACCAGAAGTTGCCAAGAACACCTCAGAATAATCACACTCAATTCTTACAGACAAGTACCTGTCAGATAGATAACTTTTGATCCAGCCGAGCATATCCTGCGCAAAACCCAGAGCTTCAAGCTTTGCGATCAAAATATTATGGTTGACCTTGTCAAAAGCCTTAGAGAAATCAGTAACGATAGTGTCTCTCTGCTCTCCCTCCATAATGGTGTTGTTTATTAAGTTTGTGAAAATAGTCAAATTTGTTAGTACTGATCTACGTCGCATGAAACCATGCTGCTCGTCAATTATTAGGCTCTCAAGTTGATTAAAAAGTGTGTCAAAAACAAGACTTTCAAAAATTTTTGGTATTGCACTAAGAATAGTTATTGGGCGATAATTCCTCACATCGTTCTTAATTCCTTCTTTATAGATAGGCACAATAATACCTCTTTTCCAATCTATTGGAAAAGTACCAATAGACAAAGACCAATTAAAAAGAATGTTGAGCGGTTCAACAAAAGCCGAGCAACAGGATTTCAAGATGGAGGGGGGGTATTCCGTCCGGGCCTGCCCCCTTCCTAATATCTAGATTTTTTAGTTTAGAAAAAATTGAAGCTTTACTGATACTGAAGGTATTAATATGACAAGTATTTAAAAATTCAAAATCTGATGCTATAGTACCCGTGTAAGGAGAAATTTATAAAAATTAAAATAAATATAAAGATAGACATATGAGGTTGGCGCGGGAATTAATATACAATATTAATATATTTATATATTCGTCACCCTCTTGAACAATTAAATGTTTTTGCAAATTCTTCCATATTCTGTAAAGTCCCAATAACTCTTAACTTAGCAGGTGACCGAGTTCTGTTTATAAATGAGTATTTGCTACATTCACATAAAACCTACAATGCATTTAAAACTATTTATATAAGTTTATTTATTGATAGTTTTCAGTATATTCCTTGAAGAAACCAGTTTAGTTAATTTTATAAAAGAAATTCTAAACATAAATTGTTCTCTGTTTTTAAAAATGTAAAAAGTGTTTATTTTCTCATTTGCAAAGGCTATAAAAAACAGTTTGTTTGCAAACGTTTAGAAAACGTACACAAAATTGTCACTGTAAATCAAAAACAGGTAAACTTAACATAATATTTAATTTTGCTTACTAAAAACTCTTTAAAATTTATTAGAATATTTTAAAAATGAGATCATTTGTCACATAAGTAAAGGATATCTATAAGAATACCAAAATTAATAACATATTTTGATAAAATCACGAGGTGGTTTTTCCCCCCACCAGGTGGTACAAAAATGCCACTTGCAGCGCTTTCGTAAAACTCTTACAACTTAGTTCTTCATGGGATAAAAAAATGTCCGTCAAGGATTTTCAAACCTAATAACAAAACTTTCAGAACCAATTGAAAATTTGAGAAAAAATTTTTAATTCAGATTTTATAGCGTAAAAAGTAAAAATGTTGCATTTTTGACCCACTCTACTCTATTAACCCATTAAGGACGGGATGTTCAAAATTTGTACACAATGTTTAAGGATATATTTCAATGATAAAATGCTACGAGAAAATTTTTTGGGTACACATTTCCTATGTGTAAAGAGTTCCTCTTTCGAATGGCGTGCTCAAAAAAACTAAAAAATGTTAAATAAACAATTTATTTAACAATTTATAACAAAAAACACGATTTTTTAAGAATTTTAAATTGGTTTTTAAAATTTTTTTATAGCTTAACCCTTCAGCATATCTTCTACTCTTATAAATATCGCGTCAAAAATAGTTGGGCTACAAGATAGGACTATTTTGGGAATCAAATTTTTAAATGGCTGCCACAAAATGGCTACCAAAGTTCCTTTTTTTAAACAATATTATAAACAAATGAAGAAAATTTTCAAAAATATTTAACTTTGCTTGAAACTTGTCACTCGGGGGTTTTTGGGGTCGCTGATGACGAATATGACCTTATTTTTTAAAAATTCAAAATGGCGGATCCAATATTGCGGACAATAAAAAAAAAATTTTAATTAAAAAAAATTAAAAATAAAAAAAACAAAAGTGGAATGTGAAATCTTTGCAGACTTTACGCGGCACATTCTGGGGTCATGATTCTTTTCATCAGCTAATGCAAAGGATATAAAATAAATTACAAAATTTGATAAAAATCTGAATAAAATAAAAAAATTACGTCCCTCATTATGAATTCAACATTTTGTATTTTTTATTTTGAAAGTCAAATTTTAGAATTCAGCGACCCAAAATATTCCTCGATAATGAAATTGAGAATAATCAAAATGAATTTTAAAAATTACGACCGCCATTTTGGATCCTCCATTTTGAATTTCTAAAAATGAATATGAAATTTGAATTCAGCGACTCAAAATACCCCTAGATACTGAAATTGATGAAAACGAAATAAATTTTAAAAATTGTGTCTGACATTTTAGATCCTCCATTTTGAATTTTTAAAAATGAAGGTCGAATTCGAATTCAGCGACCCCATAAACCCTTATATACCAAATGTAAGTAAATTAAAAAAAATTTTTTTTATAAATTTTACTTGTATTAAAATTATTATATTACGACCCAACGTTGGGTCGCAAACAGGCAATGGGTTAATTAATTTAATTCACAATTTAAAAAAAGTAACCACAGCCGATAATCAGCAGAAGATACAAAATTATTTTTTGAGACAGAGATCTTCGGTTTGCTTACATTGATAGTAAAAAAAAAATTTACTTTTCCTAAACAATGGCTAAAACAAAATTTTCTCAAAAATCTTTAAAAACAGTCAAAATTCCAGAAAATTTTTTTAATTCCATACTATTTCCAGGGTTTTCATACCTTTTTTTATATTCCATACCATTTCCAGTATTTCGAGGCTTTGTGGCATCCATGATAAAATTTTTATTTTTGTTAAATTTAATTTTGAGTTGCTTCGAACACAAAATTATGGTTGACTTTTTCTATCTTATTACAACTAATTTTAATGAATAGAAAATAAAAGTATGTATATGTTTACACCTTAAGAAAAAAGTGTACTGATCATATATATATGTATTTTTTATTTCAAAAATTTTTTCGGATAGATTTAACCTAATTTATCCTCTTATTTTAGGATTGGCTTCAAGTTTATTTGATAAAACAAATTAAAAATTATACAAGAAGGCATTTAACGCTTAAATCACAAGGTGGCTTTTTACCCTGTCCATATTCTACTACAGAAATTGCGACCCTTGGGAAATACAAGGCCCACTTCACAATTTTTCACCCTGCTATATAAATAAGGTTACTCAAGTTGGGTGGGGGAAAATTCATGATGGATTCATTATTTGCTGAAAACTTTTGAACTTTGTATTACATTCTACCAAGTAATTAAGTACCCCTATCTTGACAAATAAAGTACTTGGAATTCAAGAAAAGCACAATAAAGATTACAACCGAAAAGTAAAATTATTTTCAAAAATTGATTAAATGTACAGCTTGTTACTTACAGCATTGTTTGTAGCAAGAGATAGAGTTTTGCCCAAATCATTTTGAAATGAAACATACACTTCATATATAAAATTTTTTAATATATTATATGTTGCAGTTTTAAAATGAACGGAAACTATCCAAAAAGAGCAAGTGAAGTTTTTATAAAAGCGGAACCTTTATTTATACTCTTCACGTATCGTCTTAAACTCTAGATATTTAAGTCACGAAATAAAAAGAATGTACAAAGAAAACGTAAAATTGATAATTCTTCCTGTTCGTTTAAATTGTTACTGTTGGAAAGCGAATAGAAAATATTTCTATATTTTTACGATTTTAAAATTTCCTATTTTCAAAACGGCATGCTTGTTGAAAAATTTCACTTTTTCTTAATAAAATATAACATTATTTAAATCCATAGTTGTCATTCATGAAACTTATATTCATTTTTTTCCGATTTTGTACGTTAGATTCGTTGAACCTTACACAGTAAAAACAAAGTCTTAAATTTAATGGTGGCTAGTTTTAATTTTTGACTCTATCTTAAGCAAACAACTTTATTTAATCATAAAAACCAACTAAAAATTAAAGTTAGTTGTACTCTTACTAAAATAACACTCATTTTATAATTTATTTGTAGTACACCGGACTTAATTTCAGATCCAATGGTATTAATAAAAAGTTATATGAAATTAACTTCTAATAAGGTACGCCTACAGCTGACTGTAAGTCTGGCGAGGCTGAAACAGTTGATTGTGACGTCACAAGGGACGCAATTTGCAAACGTGAAAAAACTAAATAGCGCGTCGCGTCAGATCATAAATAAACTCGGAATTGGAACATTTTCTGCCGTTCGTATTTTGTTGTTTCATAGCCATCAAAAAAATGTTCACTGGAAGTCGGATGGTCTTTTTGCGCTGTCGCTGGTCGAAGCCAACAGGGGAAGTGCTTCCTGGTGCATATATTCGGATGTGAGTCCCGAATATTCAAGAGCACCAGGAAGACGAAAATTACTCATTGTTTTGGTCCTGTCAAAACACTGATTGCGGCCATATTGGATTAAAAGGTGACGCGAGTAAACGACAGCGACTAATAAGTAGGCGCTCTGCATTATTGGCGCCGGATATCCTACCTCGCGCGAATACTTGTAGAGAGTAAAGTTTTAAAAAAAAGTACGCCGGGGACTCACCCAAAACTAAAAAGAAGCGCACGTGTAGCGACGCTCTCGTAGCCAGACACACAGCCATTTTATTCATTCTCGGTTTGATAGTCGTAAACGGCGCGTCACGCCAGATCAAATTTTGATAATAATTAAAAAAAAATTGTTTTAAAAATTAAAAGTGTGCAATGTCTGGACGAGGCTCAATGCGAGGTCGGCGTCGCATAGATGGTGAGTCCCAGTAAAGTTAAATATTCATTTTCTCGCCAGATTGGCAATAATAAAAATACTTTTTTGAAAATCGAAGAGTGATGCTTGTCATCGCATTTTTATGCGGAAATTCAATTTCGAAAATTCGGCCTTCTGCCAAATATAACAATTGTTAAAAGAAAAAATTAAATTCTTAAGGTAACATTAATTGAATAAAAATCAATCTTGATAATAATTAAATTCAGTGACTGTGTAACTAATTGTTGTGTTGATCTCCTTACTCCTCCCCTCTCCGCGGTTTATTAGAAATTTTGCTAATAATTTCTGAATTAGCCTGGCAAAAATAATCGAAATTAACTAAATTAATGTTTTGGATATTTTCAAGAAAAATATCCTGGCGTTTAAAATAATTCATCTTAACCTTTAAGAATAATTAAATTCAAAGTGTAGATAGCGTTCAGCCCTGACCTATTGTCCAAGTGTAAACTCATTTTTCTTCGATAAAATTTAGAATAGATCTAAAAACTTTAAAATTTATTACAAATAATTGTTTAAAAGTCTGTAAATAATTATCTCAAAATAAAAATAAATAAAATGAACGTTATAGTACATAACCTCAAAATAAGGTCCAAGGACAAAGGGTAAACATAACCTCAAAGTCAGGTCAAAATGATAGGTCAGAAAGCAGATTAGGTCAAATGACAGAGGGTAAACATAACCTCAAAATTAGGTAAAAAAGAAGAGGGTAAACATAACCTCAAAAGTAGGTCATATGTCAGACGGTAAACATAACCTCAAAATTAGATCACATGTCAGACGGTAAACATAACTTCAAAATTAGATCACATGTCAGACTAAACATACTCTCAAAATTAGTTCAAAAGAGAAAAAAAAATAAAACGTCAAAATTAGGTCAAAGTCAAAGGTGGGAGAGCAAAAATCACTTTAAAATTGGCTTAAATTTTATAATGATTATATAATAAGGAAGCTCTTAAAGTAAAATATCCTGATATGTACATGTCTTGAAGAAAAAAATTTTCAAGACTCGTTAAAATAAAATATTTGGATTGATAAGACAAATCATTAATGAATTAATAATGAATTAAAAAGAGACAGGTGTGAATATCTGAAATCTATTTCAGGTGTTGTACACGGAAATAAAATTTTAACTGGAACTGCAATAAGGTGAAAGTCTTAACTGAAATAACTAAAACTTTCGTTAATATAGTGAAATTTATGGTTGTTCCAGGTAAATTTCTTTGCCGTGTGTACATATACCCAATATACAGATTCACACATCACAAATTGCACTAACACATGTGTAAAATATAACACAGATGAGGGTCGAAACATGTCGAAAAAACAGTTCCCTACTCTGACGGTCGAATTAAAATGTAGGGTAGGAATCTGCATTTCAATCAACTGTTAATGGTGGAATCTGCAATACCGACTGTGGGTTGGCAACCGCGCAGCGTTGGTGGCTCTCGCACGAACTATAATGTACAAATTTTAAATGCGCGCCATAACCGACAGCAGCGCTAGTGGCGCCTCTAGCGGCAGCCTTGAGAACTATCATGAGGAACTCACATTGTCTAACTACTATCAAGTCCAACGCACAATAGGTTCGCGAAAGTCGTTCGCGAACGAGACGCATGAGATAGACAAGGACACAAATATATCTCTGTCATTTGCTAACTCATGCTTTGCGTTCGCGAACGACTTTCGCGAACCTATTATGTTTATACCTTTAATGATTTCTTAAAATATCTTACTTATAAGTGAATTAAAATATTTGTTATCTAAGGTTTAACGTACCAACTTCTGATTATTCTAAGAAAAAAGAAATTTAAATCATATTAATTCTTAAAATCCGATAAAAAATATGTGCGATATTTATAATTTCTTTTATTGTAATTACATTTACTTTTTCAATCGATATGTCCTGAAAGCATTTAAAAAGTTACAATTAATCTTAAAATACAATAAAATGAATACATTTAGACAAATAGTTTTAATAAAAAATGTTAATTTTTTTATAATTGTAAACCTTATTAAAATTACTGTCAACATAAATTATTATGAATAAAATATATCAAGTGTTTATAAAATGTGCGAGTTATACTCATAAGAAATAAATATTTAACCAAATAATTTTTAATCTTCGAATTGTCATGTTTAAATACTTAGTAAAATATTAATTTTTTGTATTAATTTTATAATCTTTAACATGAGTATAGATGATAGATCTCGTACGTAGCGGAACTTTTACTTAGGATTTTCTGTTGTTATAAAGTTGTAGTTACACATCACACAATTTTTAAATACTAATGAATAAATTAAAAATATCTATTTGTACTTAGCTTACACTTATATTTTTTAAACGCTAAAAAATTAAAAAAACAAAATGAAGACTTAATTGTGAAGATGAGAATAAAAAATGTTGAAGAACATTATATGTCACATTTATGGAATTTTTTCCTCCTTTAATACGATATAAATTGTTTTTATCTCTCATGCACAAAAATGTCGCTTTCTGATACCCGTGTAGAAATTTACCGTGGAAAAGTATAAGAAACTGTCTAGTTGCGCTAGATTCAATCTAGCAACTAGATGAGAAAAATGGACAGGATTGAACGAGAGATGTGACGCTAGCAACGTCAAGATTTTGTACAGTTATTTTGTCTAGTCCTTGTCTAGTGAAACAAATCATTCCTAGCCAGTTCCTGGATATTAAAATAAGCAGTTTCTACATACTGGGAATAATTGTTAGGTTTATAAATAATAAAAGAATATTTTTCAACTTTACTCTTATGTTTGTTTAACTTTTAAACAAACAAAAGAGTAATACAAAAGTATTACAAATATTACAAATATCGCGCACGCGATACTTTTACGTTACGCCGACGCGGCTTGGGCTCGGCTTGGCTCGGAAATTCGAGCTTTTTGCACATCACTAAAATTTATACATCGTAACTTAAAGAATAATATTTTAAAATGTAATTTTTTATTTTATATCATGATATTTATTTCTTTTTTGAACTTTTAGAAAAAAAATTTTACTTTTGACTAGCCTTCTGGAACTAAACACCTTAAGGTCAAAATTTAAAAATAAACCTTATTTTTTTAAAAAAGGATAATATTTTACAAATTTATTATTTTTATGTAGAACATCAATTTTCCAAAGTATCACGCCAATCCCAAGACTTTCAATTTTTGACTGGGACGTTAGAGAAATAACGCCCCATGTGTGTGTGTAAACATTACATTTTTAAAAATATCTCGAAATTATGAAGAGCTTTAGGGATGAATTTTTTGAAACTGTAGGTCTCACGTGCGGACATAATATGAGAGTATTTTTAGTCCGATTCATAGAGTTTAACTATATTTTTTTTTATTTTTAATTTTTCAAAAAGTAGTTCAAAAAGTAGTTCAATGTATTTAAAAATACATTGATTGACCCAAGATTCAATCACTTTTACCATATTTATAAAAAGTTATTATTCATATATAATTATTATCATTATCTCTATGAGGAAGCAAAGTGTTAATGAAATTAGCACTAAAATTATAAGAAAAATATACAACTTGGCAGCAGTTTTTTCATATACTTACGTCTTCCAAACTTTTCTAAAAAATAAAAAATGAATTACCAATTATCATGCTTAAAATAGTGACTAGTTGCCTATAAGTTTAGGTTACACTTACCTTCTGTGCATCCATTTAAAAAAAGAAACAACGGATATAGGTACGTTAATAATTAAAGTTGTTTACAAAATATGCTATTTATATGTAGAATTTATTAGAATTAATCTTCATTGAGTACAATCTAAATATTTTTTATTTATTTACCATTTCTATAGCCCGCTGATAAATAAATTAAAAAAAGAAATGACGATTATTATGTTCAGAATACTAAAACAATTATAGCAACATTTTTAGAAAAATGAGTTTAAAATAAACAAATATATTTTTATTATTATCTATTTAAATTTCGCTTTGTGAAAAGTCGCTACTACCTTACATTAAAATATTTGTATTTTTATTAATTTTTTAACTTTAAAGTGCAGTGTAAAGACTTTTTCAGTATTCTAATTACTGTAAAGTCAATATATCACATAATTTTTAAATATTGACAAATGAATTAGTAATAGGATTCTTTAATCAGGTTAAACTTACATATAATTCAGTATTCTGTACAAGAAATAAAAGTGAAATGTATTTTAATGCAATTTTTGTGCCTATAGGATAGAAAATATTTAATTTATTTGATTTATTCCTTTTTTACAATTGTCAATACCTGTGTTTCATTAACTGTTTCCGTCTGAAAAATAAAATGGGCGTTTATTATCTAAAGTTACACATCCTTGCTACATATTTGGATTTTTTTTAATGTAGAGTCACACAGTTTTTAAATATTGATGAATAACTCAATAATTTACATTTTTAGTTAGGCTGCACTTACTTTTCTTTGCAACTTCTAAAAGAAGGAAAAAACAAATAAATATTAATTGTTAAGATGAGAACGAAAAGTTTCCAATATGTTAATTATATGTCACATTTAATGAATGTTTTCCTCATTTAATCCGATATAGATGTTTCTAATTCTACATATACTTACATTTTCCAACTTTTTCTGAAAAATTAAAAAAAGAGATATTAATTATTAGGTTTAAAATAACAAATGTAAAAATTATGCCTATAATAACATATATGCAATTTTGCTTTACACTAATGATTTTTAAACTATGATTAGTCACTAGTTGTCACAAGTTTAAGGTAAACTGCTTAATTTTTAGTAACTTTATAAGCTCTGAACAGTATGCATAGCTGCATATCGTAGAGTATTTAAATATAGATAAAATAATATTTATTTTTTAATTAAATTACACTTACTATATAAATATCATACTAGAAAAGAAGAAACATAGAAAGTAGGTATGTTAATTTCTAAGATAAAAATTAAAAGTTATTATAAACTATTATAATTCTATGTAAAGTTTATTAAAAATAATCTTCATTTAATACGGTATGAATATTTTTATTTGTTCATCTACTTACTTTAGACAAAAGATTCTGAAAAGTAAATTAAAAACAAATAAACATTTTTGACATGATCTTTAAATCTTTGAAAAATTATATTAAACAAATTTTTTGTCATAATTGACTTATGAGAAAAAAAATTATAAAAATGAATTGAGCATTTTTATTTTATAATTATATTAGTCTTACGTTTATATTATCAATCTATGAAGGGAAAAACAAAATAATAATATGTTAGTTACTGTTTTTAAGAAACGAAATAGTCGTCCAGAGTATTTAAATTCCTTTTATTTTATTTTTTTATTTTTATTTCCTTTTTTTATTTTTATTTTTTTTAATATTCATTTTTGAATGATTATAATTATTGAAAAAAGGTATTGTAATTAATTTAAAGTATTTTTTTTATAATAATATTTTTTATGTAGTTTATTTTTTCAGTTAAAATAGTATACATAGTTTTAAAATAAGAAATAATTTTATAAAACACAAATATATATTGTTGTATTAAAAATATTTACAGTCGTGTCTGCGTAAGAAGGTATTATAAAAATGCATTTGACAGTCAAAATTAGAATTAAAAAATGATTCATTTTCACTTGTATTTAGCAACGACTTTGAATATTGTACAATACGAAAAATCCACGAAACTCTGCTTTATAATACTAAAGAATTTTATGTTTTTTTAATCTACCTCTAAAAACAATATTTAAAACAAATTTCTTCTTGAAAAAGTGAAAAATCTCCATGATAAGAATAAACATAATTTTCAAATTGTTTTATGAATATTTGATTAGAATTAAACTATCTATTTGTCAATTATTTAATTTTTTATTGCAGCATAATAATTATTTCAAAGTTATAAGACAAATTTTGAAAAAAAAAATTTTCTAAAAATGAAAATAGTTATTAATTTTTATTTCCGGAATCATTGATATAGATTATGAGAGAAATAATTTCAGATATTTATCAAATTTAAATTCTAATTTTTGTTGAAATATTTAAAAAATATTTTAAATTTATAGTATCCTTCAAGAAATTATGTAATATATTTTTGAAAAAAATTCTATTTTGTTAAAATATTTTTAAAAAATTTCAATTTATTGTATCTATCTAAATTCTATTTCAAATTTTATTTGGTTATTTTTAAAGTTTTAAAACAATTAAATATATCTTGAACATTGGCATGCGGAAATATGTGATTTTCAAATAAAAAGTGATACGTAAACTTTTATACTTGTGTAATGAAAAAACTTTAGTATTAAACTTCTTGATTTCGGCTTATCTTTAAGGTTTTTGTATTATGAAAAAATTTGTATTTTTTTATTTCTTTTGTTAAAAAAATTATTAATGTATTTTATACACTAAGAGAAAATTATATTAAGTTTTGTAAAAGTATTTCACAATTGAAGGAAAAAATACGACAAAGCGAAATTTTGATATAAAAAATACTAAAATTTGAAAAAAAACTTATATTACCTCCCTTGTTCCATACTTTGCTTTATACAACAAAGGCGTATTATGGTTACTCTATGCTACCTGTACCGGTGCATGCTAAGTTCTCCCGCCATATAACTCAGCTGGTCAATAAAGTAACCATTATTGCCATAGGGATATAAAGGGTACTTTATTGACCTGTGAGCGGTCAATAATATACCCTGTTACATCCCGAGCAGAAGGTAATTTTATAGGTTAGGTTATAGAATTTTTGAGGAATGGTAGGCTGATTATGGTCAAGTTGGTAAAGCTTGACCTTTATTTTTAAGTAGGATCGTTTGTACTTGTCAAAACTATGGGTTTTGCGTTAACAACACAATAAATATTCCCTTTTAACAATTTTATTCAATATTCAAATGTAATGTTTACAAAGTTGTTACATAAATGTTACTTACTGTTATTACAGATTAGTCGTAGGATACAGGTTATAGCGCTGGTCGGTTTAACTTTGGTTTTCAAGATGTTGTTTCAATTGAATGAAACTAAGAAAGTTTGTTATGTTACACTTATGTAACTTTCACAACTTTAGGGTTTTTGCGTTTGTTTCAAGAGCTAGTACTGCTTCTAAGTGTTACTTATCGTCACTTGCACCTATTACGGAAAGAAACTTTTCTAAGTGTGAGAAAAGCAACTTGCACAATAATCGAGTACAACGCGGACTGAATTGCCGATTAAAGAAGGAATACAATAATTTTTGTATAACTGAAGGGTCGCTCTACAATGACTACTGGTCTATAAAACCGCATCGGAACATTTGACAATTTTTGTTGAAAAAGCTTTGGTTTATATAATAATGAATTATTAAAAAGTGGGAGAGTTTATAGACAATTATGGCGATAAAGTGTGTTACCTTCTTGGAATTTACATTTGCTCGTCTTAGACCTATTTATAGCTTGATTTTGAGAAGAATGCAGTTCTGCGAAAATTGACCTGAATTCTTACCTCAATTGTGAAAAAAGTGAAGCTAGAGTTACAAGCAGTGATTCACGCAGCTCGGGTTACAAAAGTAGGTCATAGCAAGCGCACTTGAGCTTACGTGAGTCACTCTTTGACTCAACGCATTGTTTCTTATTTTTGACAATTTCTATCTCTGGTTTTGTTTTTTAATCATTATTCTAATATGTAGGACGAAGTATAGAATTTCAATTATAACTTCTATCTCATTTATTGTATTTTTACGCCTTTTAACACGGGTATTATGTGTTGAATAGAAGATAGTGAAGTTACATTACAGATATTCCTTTATAATTAAAACAAAAATGTATCTGGGATGTAACATACCCTTTATCTCCCTAGGGATATAATGGTTTCTTTATTGACTGCTGGGTTATAAGGGGGAACTTAGTACGCGCCTGTACATGTAGATAAAGTGACCATAATACGCCTGAGTTGTATAAACGTTATTAAATCCTTCGTCCAAATAAAAAATCAAATTTTGAAGTGCATTTATTTCCGAGAAAAAAATGTCAGAATCACATGTTGTGTAAAACCCTCGACAATTGCTACAGTCGTTATAAGATTAGTAGATAAATTTATTGTTCTGTTTTGCAACACAATCTGTTATTTAATTTTTTTTACTTCAATCTTTGAATTTGTGTATTTAAGAGTAGATTTTGGATTTTAAAAAAACAGAGGGTGATGGAACAATCTGTTATTTAATTTTTTTACTTTAAACTTTGAATTTGTACATTTAAGGGTAGTTTTTGCGATTTTAATAATATAGAGGGTGATGGAGCAATTCTGACCTCATATTCGTTTTCAGTGGGCAAAAATACTATAAGACATCTAGGTCTGGTTCAATAAACAGACCACTTTTATTTTTTTGTGTGCCTGTGTTTTAAATAAAATAATACTAAAATATTTGTTATTTTTATTTTTATTTCATTAAATCATGTACAATGGTGCGACATATCATTTAAATCGTATTTTTATAAACTTTTAAGAAATAAAAGTATATATTATTTTGTACATTTACATCATCATAATATTGTCTGGTAAAAGTCCTGTTAAAAATTTATTTAGAATTTCAAATTTAGTCAAAAACATTGAATTCATCCAAACGTGAAAATGCAAAATTCACTTAGAGAAAAAGTTAAATCCACAAAACATTGATCAACTATAAAATATGTCAAAATTACGAACCCTGAAATTATTTAAGAAGTTACATTTTAATAAATAGTAAATGCCCAGTTGGTAAGATTTCAAAAAAGGGACCCATGGAGATTTTACAGAAATTCATGTAAAAATTTGTTTCATAAATCTGTCTGAATAATCTAGAAGTAACTTTCCTTGTAATTTTTCCAAATAGGTTCGTCGGATATTTTAAATGTAATGCAGAACATGGCTAATGGTTGTAGTATTTCATAATTTATTTAATGGTAATCATTCATTTAAATGTTAATTAAGATACACGGAGCTAAAATGAAATGCGTATGAATTATTAATAAATATAAATAATAACAAATTTATATTTTAGTTTAAAAGTTTGAACGACTGTCAAAAAAATTAATAAGCTGATTAATAAAATTTAAAACTCCCAAAAGAACAATTTTAATGAACTAGTGAAATTAATGTTTAATACATAAAATTACTTTCTCTACTTAAGGTCAGTTTAGATTTCATAAATAGTTTATATTTATCCTATAGAGACGTATAAATATATTATAAATTTAAAATTAACTTTATGTTTTGAGAAAATTATGAACATTAAAATTGAAAAAGAATGTTTAGTTTGAAAATTCAAATCAATCTTTTAAAATTGGATATTGTGAATTCTAAAAATTTTTAATTAATTTTATTTAAAGCGTCTATACTTTATACACTTTAAATATAAATATGAGTAAAATACAATTTACTAAAGTATTATATTATTTGTTAAATTAATAATTGTACATTCTTTAACTGTTACTATGAGTAAAATTTCACTGATTTTAGAACCAAAATGACTTTATGTAAGTGGCATTCTATAATCTATATGATATTTTTCCCTGCATGTAAATCATTAACGTCCAAGATATGGTGAATCTTTTTTAGATAGGAATGGTTTATTTTGAGGAAATGTAGAATTCTGTGTCAATGTAAACAATAAGATAATTATCTGAACATTACGCAGTCACGTTTCTTTTTCTCAGGGTAAATGAATTCATATTTTGTTGTTTTATCAAAAATAGAATTATTTATATAAAATTACTAATTTAAAATAGATAAGGCAAGAATACATTTTTTTAATATTGTTTCGTTTCATTTGTAATTTACATAAAACTTACTTAATTTTCTTTGCATTGTATAATATCGTTCTTACCATAAGTAAAATTAATTTTGAGATTTTTTCAATTAAAAATCATAAATATTTCAGCCAGCCAAGTTAGTTAATAATTGTTAACTAGCAGTACTATTCACGCTACTTTGTTCAAGATCTTCTTTAGTTACTTTTGTATCTAGCCATGCATTAATAACGGGAAAATTCTTTTCACTCCATTGTGTCTCCCTCTTGATATTTTCGAGGGCTTCTTCAATAATAGTTTGAACATTTTTGAATTCTTCCTGTTTACTAGCATACAACTCAGATACTTTGTCGTATCCTTCTTGAGTGTTAAATGATGAAATTGCAGTATTTATAATTCGATTCCACAGATTTGGATAGGCAGTAAATCTTATCTTTACCACATCCCAATGATCTGCTAAGAAATTAAACAATGTCGTATACCCAGTGGCACTTCCTGTTAAAGTACTTGCTATCAAGTGAATATCCGATGTAGAAAAGTTGGGATTTTGTTCAATAATTGTTACATTTAGCAATCTGCAATAAAAGAAATTTATTTATGGTGAAAATTATAAACCTCCTAGTAGTCACTGTGACATATTGGATGTCTTCAGAACAAATGTAGGACATCCTTAGATCGCCTATTTGCATTCGAAGGGCGTCTTCAGGATGTCCTAAAGATATTTTATGCCTCAGACTCTACAGGGTTTATAAATGAATATTTCTCATAAAGAAAAAATTGACTTGCAAGGGAGTTCCGCATTAGTGCTGTTTTATAATTTCTAGTGCTTTAGAGCTACAAACACTTTTCAGTAGGAAAATATTCAATTGGTAAAACCTTGTTTTGAAATGGTCAAGTTTAAGTCGTAATTCGTTTTGTATTGTCAAGCATTAATTCACGCACTCGAGGATTTAATAAATATAATCATAATTATTTCTGTTTTGAATATTACCTTTTTATTTTATATTCATCTTTTGGGCATCCTGCTAAAGTTTTTAAAAGATAAGTTCTTTCGCTCTGCTTTCTTTCATTGTTTTGTGGAAAATTAATAACTCGCTGGAGACCGAATTCCCATTCTTCTTCTGTACCCCATTTAAAAACCGGGCAGAGGAATTCATTCGCTACTCTGAAAAAAAGTAAAATTAACAAAATTATTTAGAATACTGATATTTACCTACTTAGTGTGGAATAAAATTAAAAAAATAAACAAGAGACACTAACGGATTTCCTTTATCAGGTTCTTCATCAGTGAGCCATTTTTTGAACTGTTTTCTGGCTTCCAGAATACAAGGTTCATAGCCAGCACGACATAAGAAGATTTTTGATAAGCCCCTCATGTGTGTTTTCCAAGAAGGTTCATCAGGTTGTTCACTGCTGCATAATTCTGTGTATAGAGGTTTCAATAGACTGCGAATATAAGCCTGCAGAGGAAAATAAATAATTGTTTGTTAATTACAAGTGTATGAATATTTAAATGTATATCTAATAGATATAAGAAACATTTTACTAAGAAATAATAAATACCTGAAATTTAATGTATATTTCAGATCCATGAATTCTTCGTCCAATGTGATCTATCATGGTAAAAACTGGCTCCCAAACAACATGATTTCTTTCATTTTTTAAAAATAGTGTCATGTTCAGTGCAATATCGAAGCAAAGTTCGTTAGCATATGCAAGATTCCAGGAGTCGTGAAACAGTTTTGCTCTAGTTAAAGGAGGAATTCGTTCACGTCCAGGTCCTTGAAGAAACTCTGATAACCTTCTCCAATTCAGAGAATCGTAATTAACTGGAAAAGGACCTGTAATAAAACCAACAAAAATGTTTTGCATTATTTGATATTATATACACATTTGTCAGATAACTCATGAATTTTCGCCTGTCTATTTTAACTAACAAACTTTTTAAAAACTAAGACATCGGTCTTGTTCTCATGATTATTACATAATAGTTCGGTGTAACTTATGAACAATAATAACAAAATTCGCTTTATATTATTGACTAGGACGTTTAATATTGAATGCCTTTTTATAAACAATATTTGTTATTATTTACGTACCAATTTCTTCTGGATTAGCTATAATAAAGCTGTTGGTGGAAACAAAATCGTTCATTGTTATATTTACTCCCTTCTTATTACGCTTTACGGCTTCATCAGAAAGCAACCATACTGTAGGTTTTGTGTTACTTAAATTTAATCGCTCTTGAGAAATTATTACTAATGGAATGTACCATGTTAATCCATTTTCATAACTTGTAAATTTTGAAGGACCTTCTCTGTGATAACGTTTCTGAAAATTTTTACTTTTATAAATTAAACTTCATAAACATGTTAATTACCAAGTTTATTAAGAGCAATCATTTGTAAGGCATAGGGCCGTATTGTAAGACACTTTCTTGATTAATGATTCTGTTTTGCTTCATTTATTAATTAATTAAAAATTTATCATTTTTGATTTTTGAAATTATTTTTTTTAAGTCAAGGATTGTTAAAAATTAGTAATATATATGTAGTAAATATTTTAAAGAAGAAAAAATAAAGTGAATTTGAATCAAAATCAATTAAAATACAAATTTCTATTAATATATGTTGTAATAAATTTTGTATTCTCAAAGTTGAAAGTATCAGAAAATCACCCAAATTACGATTTTTTAAAAATTTTTAACTTAGTATGTGATAGTTAATGTGTTTAAATGAAACATCTAATTTGTGATTATTTTTATTAAAAATCACGAGTTACTCTTAATATCAATGTGAAAATCAAAACGTGAGAATTGAATGAGCGAGAGAAACAATACTATTCGTTGTAGAAATATTTTGCTATTTACCTGTGTAATGTTGATAGTTCCGGTGTCGTAATCGCGTTTGACCGTGACAAGTGGCAATCTGTCGTGATCTATCCAAGGGTCTGCAACTTGGCTTAGGGTTGTGCCTGCTGGAAGATAACCAGTTTTATTTGCCACTTCGTTCATTGCCTTATAGAAATCTGAGTACAAATAAGTCCTTGGTCCCACATTATCATTCATTGTAGGTATCCTGAGAAGCATAATATACTAACCTATTAAACAATTTTTATTTTACATTTAAATAACATTACAGAAAAAACCTTGATTCATTTTTACTGTATATCGAAACAATGGTTAATTAGTCTACAAGCTTGATGGAAATAACAAATGTCTTTATAATTCTAAGCACATTAGCTTATTGCCTTAATTTATATACTGAGTAAGCTTATAGTAAGCTTTTGTGCTAGGAAAAAGGACACTTTGGTTTTTGTAAATATTAAGTGACAAACATTTTTAAAACACTTAAAACAAATTTTTCATAACGCGGTGCTAAAAAGGGCACTTTTTTGCACCTTGTTATGAAAAATATCGTTCGTAACTAGTGCTAGCAGTTGCCAATTTTTGAACAAAGCGCAGCTTCGCCTACAGTTTGTTCCAAAAAAAAGTGCTCGTTTAAAAATTGGCAACTGCTCGCACTCGTTACAAAATATACTATTTTTAAGCATAACTCTGGATTTATAAATTTCTTTCCGTTTAAAAAGTAACCATTTTGTCATATTGGACTTGTTTTTTACCCTCAGTGTATACATTATAAAATTGAAACGTTTTGTATACTCTGTATTACCATAACGCAGCAACTTTGATCGACTGTATATAGGGATGAAATTTATTAATTAAAAAAGTTTTTATTTTTATCGATCTGAAGTTTTCTTTAGAGTGTGATATCTGTGTTCCATTTTGGAATTTTTTTTTACTAAAAGTTATACTTAAGAATATAAGCAGTGTTTAAAAAAAATTTGAAGTACTGTAATTTTGTCAAAACAAAAAAGAAAATCAGTTATTGGGAGGTTTTTGGAAGGTTAAAAGTTTAACTTTAAGTTAGCGTCAGCCGTTTTTAAATCTATTCGAAAAAATATGTTTTTTGAGTTAGAAAATAGGTGTTTTTTGCAGCAGCGAGAAAAATGTCAGCAATCTTATTCAATACATATCTTATAACTTTTTTAAAAACATAGAAAACATTTACTATGGATAAAATTGATTAGTAGAATATAATTAAACAAACCAACATTGCTTAAATAAATTTTTTGTATCATTAAATTAATGTATATTTGGATTATTTTTTGGACCGGCTCCATAAGTAGACCACTTTTCTGATTTTTATATAACCAAAGGCAAAATATGTTCAAATAAATAAATAATAAAATAATAAATAAATATGTTTTAACAATTATCTAACATAGCAAAAACTTAAATGTTCTACTATTTGGGTATTGTATTAGAAAAATATAAAATAATAAAGTTCGAATTCACTTTTAAAAAATGTAGAAAACTTACTTCTCAATAAAACTTCGTATTCCGGTCCTAAAATTTTCCTTTCCAAGAGTGTAATTGAACATTCTGAATAATAATTCGTCTGAAAACAAAGTAAATTTTTAAAGCATTGAATACAATTTTATACTAACTTTGTAACCCGCATAGCACCGAAACTTTTCTAAAAATGTAGTAAAGATTTACTTGCAAACTTCGGAGTATTTACTTGCAAAGTTTAGAGAAAATTCTGTAAAAATTTATATCCCACTTCAATAAATGTTTCGCTTAAAGTTGACAGAAAATTTTAATTAAATTTTCTTGAAAGTTTTGGTGCTTAGTGTTGACTTAAAATCATTTAAAAATAAGTTTTAAAAAAATTTAATGTTACAAAATAATCGAATCAGTTGGTACAAAAACAGCACAATTGTATGAATGTAAATTTTTGAGAAATCAATGACAACTGTTTCTCTCGTAAATGTTTGAATTAGCTATACATTATATTCTATTAACCTGTAATTTTAAAAATTTCTTAAGAGAGTGTCAAACTTGAGCCAGCTGTTACATAGAATTTTTTATAGAAAAGTCAAATCGACTTTAACATTTTCTTAAAAAAATTTTATAAACTCAAAATTCTTCCATCATGTTTGATCTGCTATTTTGAATTTCTAAAATTATGGTTTATAAAGTAGTTAAGAATAAAAATAGATACGGTTCATATACTTACATTTGGCACACTTTGAGTCCTTTACAATGCCAAATCCACTGCTACGAACACTTTTACCATATCCATAATAGAGAGAGTATAAAACGGTCATTGGCCATTTTCCTTCCAGTTCATCTGGATTAAGCTGAAAGAAGAATATATGTTTTCTTACCTCTCACAAAGTATTTTATATAAATAAGTGTAGTGATTCCAAAAATTTTTGATCATCTTAACAATTTTGATATGTTTTTACTTCCTATTTTCTATTGTTATTTCTTTGGTTCCTACCCTCTGGGCACGGAAACATCTTTTTTCTAGAAACGTTCCTAAAACGTTAGTAGAACGTTTCATGACCTCCACATATCTTAAAAACGTTTTATTTCCTAAAAATGTTTTTAGAACATTGTACGTTCTTAAGCCGTTATCTAGTGGACATGAAACGTTCCAAAAACGTTTTAGGAACGTTTCTAGAACAAAGACGTTTCCGTGCCCAGAGGGTATGTGGTTTCTAAACTGTTTTAAATGGATGTAACTCATTAACGTCTAAAATGTAAAAAATTCTAGTTCATTTTCAATCTACGTTTTTATGAAAAACGAAAATTAAAAAGTATGGCATATAAATGCATATCTAAATTAAAACCATAGTTACTATTCATAAAAACACAATTTAATCAAAAATTATTTTTGAATCTCATCGGAATCACTTCTACTATTTATTTAGATCAAGTGGTATTTATATTTTAATACAACATTGAAATTAATCATAACTCTGAATCAAGGCGATGGAAGAAATAATTTTTAATGTTTATATAGTATTTTTTTAATTCTTTTGTTTCTGAAGAAGATAGCTGTTCTGTTGAAACGTTAAAAATAAATAAAATGTTGTTTTTATTTTTTCAATCACTTTCATTCACAGTTACAATTTCTCTTAAATTTTCTTACATCCATTGTTGTCATTGATGCCAAGAAAGAACTGAAAGCTTTTCCCATTAGTGCATCAGTTGAACGAATTGATGTACTATACTGGCCAATCCATTGGTGTATTATTTCATAGGCTGTATTCCATATTAAAGGACTACTGATATCAGTTTCTCTGAAAAAACAACACATTTTCTTTGACAAGAAAACTATTTGCAATTCAAGTACATGTTCAGTCACATATTAGTTCAACAATAATTAAGTTCACGTTAATTTCAATGTTCATTTATATATAAGTGTAAAAACATGTAAAAAATTAAGAGGCTGCACATTACTTTTCTTTTTAATAATACTAGAGCAAATTATGCGCGCCCATTCCATTTCTTCTTTAACTATACACTTCTATGCTATGAATAAAATTTTATACTAATACCACAGCATAGTGAAATATCAGTTAAAATGGGATATCGGATTATAAAATAAAAAAAATAAATAATAAATTATTTAATATAATTGTAACACCTAAAATCTTTTTAGTTAATAACTAAAAGCAAATAAATTGGGACTACTTTTCATCGAAACCTATTATTTTTAGAAAGTCTGCCATTTAGCAGACAAAATGTAATAAATGTTCTTAAATTTCAATATTAATACAAAAGAATACTTACTTGAAGAACATTAATCCCCAATTATCTGCAGCTTTAGCAGCATCATATTTAGGCATTGCAACAACATCTAATTTTGGCAAACCGATTGTACTTTTAAAATAGGTTTGCAAATAATTTACAATTCTGACAATTTTATCTGGAACCTGTTTCAGAGTTTCCATGTAGCCTTTTCTTCCCCAGACACGAATTTCAAAGTTATTTTTAGTTATTTGGTCTATGCTTTCTATGGGACGTACGCTCTCAAAATCAGCTATAACGAACGCTAACTGACTGGTTTGCATTTCAGGTGATTGAGCAAATTGCGTGCACGTTAGATCCGGCTCTCCAGGTCTTAAAAGCAAAACATAAAAAAAAGTTAATTACCAAAGTTTTAGAATTGTAAATTTTTTTACAAATTCTCCTATATCATAAGAATCGTGACTTTCGAAGTTTGGTATTAATGATTAGGTATCATGAATGGCTGAGTTTATATGATATGACTGATGAAATTGTAGGGCTCATATATAATATTCTCAAAAAATTTTATAAATTAGTCATTTATTGAAAATTGAATAAACTTACACGTCAGTAGTCCTTTCTGCAGGCATATTGGATAATGCAGTCATATTTTTTGGATGTATTAGGCTAAGCTGATAGCTAGCTTTAAACGTAAATCCATCAAATGATGGGTAAACTTTTCGAGCATTATCTCGTTTTAGATATGTTGCTAATAATGTGCTGAAAATTTAATTAAAATAATTAGATTAATCAGTTTAGAGTAAGAAACAAACAAATATTTGTAACTATAGTTTTTTGAAACAGTTTAGTTAAATTGTTTGATAAAAAATGTATTAAAAATTCAAACTTAAATTGTCCTTCTCCCTTACACTCATGTAACGCTCATTGCCCCGTTTACCCACAGGCAAACAGCTAACAAACTGTGAGTGTACCTTAATAAAGTCAAACTCAGCGAAAGAAGAACAAAGGGGTAATGGAGAAGGAAATATCCTAATCCGGTACACCAGATATTGAGCGACTCAGCGCCCACCCAACCAAGGGCAATAAATTGTAACGAACTTTTTGGAATATATACATTTTAATCAGTAATGTTAAATGCACATAAAACAAAGATTTGTGTATTTATTTATTTCTCTATAGAAAATGTTTTAACTTTAAATATTTAATACCTAAAATTTGTATTCGTTACAATAATCTACATATACATGTACGTTATAGGAACGTCCAATGGACATCTGGAGTACATCCTAGAGATATCACTGCAAAAATAGGTGTTTTTTCGATATCTTAAAATAAGATGTAAGATGAAAAACAGATATCCGACATCTTAAAATAAAATGTTTTCTAAAGTATCTAACTGATATCTAAGATGCTTTATACGTTTTAGCACAGATTAAAATATTTCTTCCATTTTAGAAAAGTAAGATACTTCTTTAAGATTTTTAAAGTATCTTAAAGAGACTGATTTATAATCGATAATTAAAAGCTACCTTAAATGATGAATATTAAATGTTTTATCAAACATATAAATTGGGAGTAATGAATATAAAAATTTAACTATGAAATAGATTGGATGTACTGTTAAAGTAATTAGGATGTTAATAAAATTAAAAACTGAATATGACAATAAATATCTTACTGATTTTTTCCATCGCTGTCAATATAGTCATTTCTGAAAAGTCCTCCAGTATTACTAGTTGACATATTTCCATAGTAAGTAATGTCTATTTCACAATTCGCTCCTGCTTTTAAAGAATCATTAAAGTTAATTGTGTACCATGAAATTCTTGGTCCTTTGCCCATCTGCACTACTGATACTGTAGAAATCTCCTCTCTTTAAAATAATTTGAAACATATTTAAATTTCTTCTATAAACAATAAAAGTTAGATAATATAATCAAAACTACAGCTCTAATGATGAGAATAACGAATAAGATATAATTAAGAGTACAATATGGGTTTGCGAATTGAAAATAAAAAATTGTAAGTTTGATAAAAAAACAAAATCATTCCTAATGAAATAATTATTTAATAGGTTGTGGACACCCTGCAAAATTGTAATACAAATTAAATGCGTCAAATCCGACGAATGTATATTTTGTGTTATCGACGGACGTAATATTTGCACGAATACCAAATCTATCAGAACCGTCTGCTTCGTTTCGGGTGCAAATTTGTTTTTGCATGTGTAAATCTTCAAAAAACAATTTTAAACATTTTTAAAAGTGCCACAAAACGAAGCGAATCAAGAAGCGAGAAGTTGTGTGCAATGAATATTCACACAGTAAATTTATAATATTTTGTTATTCTACATCCAGTATCACCACAATGTTCACAATCAAACTTTTTCATATCGTTTGAATGCGGTTGTAAAATTTGGTTATAGACACTCAAATTGGTTTAGTTCTGTTTATCTCTTTTCTTTTGACAATTAGCAAAATAATGTCGTTAATGTCGATATATTTAATTTGTCATAACTTAGTGGTGACTTTAAAAAAATTGAAAGTATACCAAAATGCGTACCAGTTATTGGACATACAAATATTGTAAAAATGCTGAAGAAAGATATGAAAATATCTGCTCAAGTTCCGGAAGCTTTTGAAATAAATAAATTTTTTCTACATCTACTGTGAGTTTAGTTTATTTTTTCCCATTTTGCTTCTTGTGGATTTATTAAAAAAGTAATAAAATAAACTAAAATTGTGAAAATGTATTATATAGAGAACTATCATAACAAATAATTACTAACTGGTATATGTAGAAAGCCAACATATTGTGGTAGGTTTCTCAGTTTCTTATATCTTGTCATCTAACTCAACAAAAGGTTGTCATAGTAAAGAATTTAGTTGATAGAGCAATAAAACTCTCGGATCAAAAATACCATGAAGAAAATTTAGTTTTACTTAAAAAGTTTCTTTTTTACAATTATTATCCTGAAGATTTTTGTGAATGAAAAATAGATTTAAAGAATTCAAATAAATAACAAGCCTAAAGTAAACAATAAAGATAGTGATTTTGCTTGGGATAAAGTTGCGGTTTTGCCTACTGAACCTGACAAGGGAAAAATAGTATCAAAATAGAGAAAATCTTACGGTGTTGAAAAATTGGCGCCCAATTTCGTGAACTTAACACTGGCGTGAACAATTTCAAGATCACGGTCAACATTAAGCACAATCTTCTCTGTTTGATGGACCCACGTCACGTTGATTCGTACTCTTCCCTTGAATTTCGTTTCATTTATGAAAGGCTGAATTTCTAAGTGATAATTTAGTGGTTTTGTGTCTCGTGGAAGTCTATTTTCCAATGGCTCTTCTATATCGTAAATATCAACACTGCGCTTCGATCTATGCCTTTCCTGCTTCAGTGCAAAAATAAATTAAATTTAGACTACAGATAATAATAATTGTTTTCAAACAGTTTAATTATTATTATCAAACTCTTTAATGAATTTTGTGAACAAGTTCACATTCATTACTATATTGAATTCAATGACTATTATTATATGTAGATTGTTGGAAGAGATCTTTTATATAAAAATGTAAATTCGATTTATTTATTATTTATTTATTAAAAATTAAAATTCGAATTTTAATACTTTTTTAAAATATTGATATTATCGAAAAAACTGTAAATTGTAAAAAGTAATGAGTAAATTGAAGTGAAAATTTGAACTTCGTATATTTGAAAGAAGAATTTAATAACGTTTGATAATTCAAATTCTTCTGAAATTAGTTAAATTTTTTTTGTATATATATTTAATTGCTTATTAAAAACAATGGATTTACAGAAGAATTTTAGTTAAAAACACTAAAAGAAATTGAATTTGAAATAAATTACAAATGATTGCAGATATTCAATTATTTTCAAAAAATTTAATAAAATTCTTGGCAAAATTTCAATTATTCACAAAAACTTTTCTCAATTCAATGATTTTTAATATTTACTATTTCAATAAAATTTTTCAAGAGAATTCAATTATTTATAAACAAATTTTAATAAAATTTCACGCAAACATTTAATTATTTTCAGAGATAATGAAACTCATAGTAGATTTTTAACTATTTTTAATAGAAGTTTTAAGGAATTCCAAGAAAAATGTATTTATTCTTAAAAATTTTATTGAAATTCATCAAAGAAATTTAATTATTTTAAAAAACTTTGCTATCATTTATTTATTAAAATTTATTTATTATTGTGAATACATTTTAAATCAAATTTTTTGAAAGAATTAAGTTATTTCTACAAATATTAATTAAATTCTTTGTAACAATTCAATTTTTTCAAAACAATAAATTTTTAAAAAATTCTTCGTAGAAATTTAATTTATTTGAAAAATTTGTCAAAATTCAATTATTTTCAATCTATAATATTTCAATAAAATTTCACAAAAGAATTCTATTATGTTCAAAAATTGACCAAAATTCTCGTCAAAATTTCAATTAATATCTTTATAAATAATAAAAATTTTTTCCGAAACTCGATTACTTTCATAAATTTTAATAAAATTCCTCGTGAAATTTCAATTATTTTCTAAAACTTTCCTCAATTCAATAATTTTTAATTACTTAAATCTTTAATAAAATTTCCCAGAAGAATTCATTTCAAAACATTTTCAAAAGTTATTTCTAAAAAATTGATTTAAAGATGAATTTTATTTAGAAATTTTAGAAATGAATAATTGAATCGAAATAATAAAAATAATTTTTGAAGAAGTTGCAGTAGCAATATTCTTATAATATAAAATAATGATTTTAGCAAGTTTTAATTATTACCATAAAACAAAGAAATTTTTATTTAAATTGTCAAAAATATAAAATTTTATGTATTTTTCTTGTTTTTTAACGAACTGTGCTATTCAATTAACTCAGGCATTAATAATTTCTAGATAGATTCGTGTGAACAGTTGAACTTGGCCAAAAAACTTTTCATTTTTAATGAGAATATAAAATTTTTACGGATTTTTAGGACAAAATCCGTCTACAAGTAATAATTTTAAAAAATCGGTAAATGATGTACGAACCCTTCGGGATTAAGAAGATAAGAGAATTTGTCGTACAAATTTTGGTTCGAAGAAAGTTTTCAAAACGATGATATACGAATTTCGACATGAAAGTTACTCGAAATCCAAATAAATTGGTAAGAAATTTTTTATAAAATTCGATCGAATGATTTTAACTCTTATTGTATAATTTATTATTAATAAAATTAATTTACTTTCAAAAGAATGGAAAATAAAATTCAGTACTTACATGGTAGAAAGCATCGCTTACAGCAAAGAAGAAAATAATAGACAGAATAAAGGCTGTCCGCCCCATTGTTATTAATTTTTACCTAAAATTCAATTTAATTATAATTTAAAACAATTACATGTAACTTGAGCTTATTTTATTATATAACAAACCGGAAATACACAATATACTCTTCGACTTGAATCACGTGATTGTTAATAAAACAATATCTCACCTAATAAATAGTAAAATATAAAATTCTTCACACTCTGTAAAAATCACCCGCGGTTGAACGAAGTTGTCCGCGAACTAGATGCCCTAACTTCTTCTTCCTGGATTTGTAACTCAAATGAGAAACAAGGGTCGGGAAAATAATACTTTGCCACGTGACATCCGCTCAACGAGAGCCAAATCACGGCTTCAAAACGCTTACCCACTTAGAAGTATTACGATAGCCTGAAGCAATGGGTCCTCCATTATTCAATTTCGGACTGCATATGTCACATATGACAAAAGGGGACTAATCTCAATGGCGAACGGAAGTACGTGCGAGATAAAGCCAACCACGTCAATGATCAATCCAGGAGTGTCAATGATAGGTGCTAGTGACTGTTCGTACCAGTAACGATATTAATATTAGAAAGAAATTTAATTTACCAAAACTAATCGACCCAAGAGTATTTACAGAGTCTTTTCAGTGGACGAAAAGTATGAAAATTTTTTTACGAAAATGTATGACACGTAAAAAATTTCATGTGTGCGTGGCGTTATATGTTATATGATGGTTATTGTTTTACAAAGAAATCTAGCAAGAACCCCAAAAGGATCTTTTACAAGAGAAATTTTATTTTTCCATAGTTTTTTTTATGACGAATCCGGATTGCGAATCCGATGTTACATTTTGAAAATTCCAAATGGCGGATCCAATATGATGGACAAAAAAAATAAAAAATCAATTTGATTAGCTTGATATTTGTTACCAGGGGGATTTTGGGGTCGCTGATAATTTGGCAAATTCGTTTTTCTATGTTAACTCAGCCAATAAATGAACAGTTAAGTCACTTTTGTTTTATTTGATTATATTAGACAGGAATATTCGTTGAACCAATCATACAATTAATGTGAAAGTGTATTTTATAGGATGCACTGTAAAAAGTCTTAAAAAAGATTAACTTTTTTAATTAATGAAGCCGAAAAAAACATTGTTAGTAGGTCTACTTTTACTAATCCAAAATTTCGAAAATTCATAACTCGAAAATTTGGGTAATTAAGGTAAGTCCGGGGGAGATGACCATACGGGAGGAATGGCCTATTCAAATATTTTACAGAATTTGTAAAAAAAAATATAACTTATGATTCGTTATTCTTTAACCTTTTGTGACTAATAATAATTGTAAACAATAATTTGTTGAAAAATAATAAAAATGTAAGTAGAATCCTTATTCATTTTATTTGCATGGTCCTAAAAGATTTGAGAAATTCAGATTTCTTATTGTTATATTTATATTTTTTGAGATAATTTTTAATTTTACATTTCATTGAGTAGAACATAACCTGCGCTTTGATATAAACAAAAAAATAAGAGAGAAATTATTTTATTTATTTAATATTTTGATGTTTACTTCTGCAATGTATTATTGGGTGTAAGATGGCAATAAGTGACGACATTGATTGAAGATAGTATTTGACACTTTTGGCTACATGAAAACTGCACTTAATTGCCAAATGCACTTTTTGAAAAATGTAAATTTTAAGATTGTTTCTATGAAAATATTTTATTTTATTACCTATAAAAATTTGTTACCCTATAAAAATATAAAAATATGTATATCTTATTTTTTTTTATAAAGAACGAGAAAAAAATATTTTTAATCGATTTTAAAATGTCGGTAAATTTCACGTGGAATCGACCATATGGTTGATATTATATGGTCTTAAAACTTTTTGTTAATGTTTAATGTTTTTTAATGAATTGTAATTCATATTTTGAAAATGTTATACAAATATATTATTATTATTCAAGTACAATATAACAATAATTTTAATAAAAATTTGAAACAGTTTAAGATCGACTCTTCAGCACACAATTTTTTAAAATAAAATTGTCCTTTCTTTTTTTTGTTTCAAAAATAGAATTTTTTCATTTCTTTAATATGAATAATTTATTTAGTGAATAATTTTTTCGTTAAATCATATATAGTAGAACATTTTTAAATATCTTTTAAATCGTAAAGAAACTTCGAAGATATCAATAAGCTTGTATGTGCAATAAAATTTTCAATAATAAAAAATATTACAGTTCGTTTTTATTTCCAAATTTCGAATCTATTGATAACTATAGAAAAAGGTATATAATTTAGAGAAAAATAATTAAAATTCACTTCTAACAAATATATTATCTTAAAACTTTTTTAAATTCAGTTAAGTTTAATGTTTTTTTTAATATTGTATATTTCTTATTTTTAAATATTTAAAACATATTATTATTCACATACAATTAACTATAATAATCGTCGTATTCATTCTTTCATTCTGTCCGCACACCTGAACTTAGTCATGATTATGCTTTTCATTTTTGATTCGTTTTGATAGGAAATATTATACTACTTTAATTTTTTTAATTTGTTTATATTATTTTTGTTTTTTAATTGCCAAATGCACTTTTTGAAAAATGTAAATTTTAAGATTGTTTCTATGAAAAAATTTTATTTTATTTTCCATCATTTTTAAGTTAAGTGTTCAATGTTTATTTATCAATAAAACTTAAAACAAAAAACGCTTTTTTATAATTTTTACAATTCTTTAAAAAAAACTATGGCCATCTCCCCCGAGAAGTTTTCGGTGGGGCAAGCCGGCCATAGGATATTTTTATTGTATCAGAGTTTCACGAAAATTACACAGCCATACAAAAAAAAAAGTTCTGATCTGGGGGTCTCACTATGTAGACTTTATGTTTTTTGGGTCGCTGAATCCGAATCCGAGGTCCATTTAACACCATCAGATCAGGATTTTGACATAACCTCAAAAAACCAATATGACGGACACGTTTTTGAAAAGTTCATCGGATTCGCTTGAAATTCGTTACTCGGGGGTTTTTGGGGTCGCTGATTACGAATTTGAAGTCTGATTTCCAAAATTCAAAATGGTGGATCCAATATGGCGGACACGTTTTTGAAAAATTCATCGGATTCGCTTGAAACTCGTTACTCGGGGGTTTTTTGGTCCGGTTTGCCCCACTCTCCCCTACTTTTTTATTATTAATATTAAAACATAAAAAAAAATAAAAATTAAAATTAACATTATTTTTTTATAAACTTACAATTATGGCAAACTCATTAATAATTTAATGTCAGATTGTGTCTTTATTATTACAGTTAATTATATTTTAATAAATTTTTACTTACGTTTATAATATTTTTTTTGACGGTTCGTTGATTATAATTAACAATATACTATTTTAAGTGAAATTAGACTTCCTAAAGAGGAAGTCTCCCACACAGCACATGATATTTCCTAAATATTTCCTGAATCTTTCACTGAAAAATTGAAATATTTCAGTGCAAGGTCCTTGAAATATTGCTGCAAATAGAAAATGTCCGCCTATGTGAAATATTGACGCGAAAGTTGAGAAAATATTTCATTGAAATATTCCTGCAATATTACACATAAAGATTCTGCAATATTGTGAAAATATTTCACAAAATGGAAAAATTTGTTAAACACCTCAAACCAATAGGAATTTTCTGAAATATTTTAAAACCCATAGGATATAGTAAGCCAAAAACTACTGCGCAGCTCTACAGGCCATAGAAACTGAGTTCGACCAGTGCGCATAATTTAAGTTGAAAATTTCCAAAATATTTCAAAGAAATATTTTCTAAACTTTCGCGTCAATATTTCACATAGGCGGACATTTTCTATTTGCAGTAATATTTCAAGGACCTTGCACTGAAATATTTCAATCTTTCAGTGAATTATTCAGGAAATATTTAGGAAATATCATGTGCTGTGTGGATCTGTAGATTATGGAATATTCATTATTTACGAATACTCTATTAGGTTCTATAGGTAGTTTATTATGTTTTGCTCAAATTCATTAAACTTGTTTACAAATGTCATAGTTGATAAACTAAATGACTAGGAAAAATAATTTTAATGCATCATTAAATAACTGATGAATAATATTATTTTATTTATTCATAAATAATGTTTTACATTCTTGCAATACATTCCACTGTTGTTACATAGTAGAAATATTTTTAGCAATGTGGGGGTTCTTTCGTGTTGCAGGAGAATTGACCTTCATCATTTTCGTGAATGCAGTAACCTAAAATTTAAGACATTAAAAATCATATTATTCTATGTTTAATCAATCATTAAATATTTAATGTTGTAGGTATATAATAAATATATGTTAAAATATCAGAAACGTAAAGAAAAGTTAAAAACAAAATTATCCATGTGGTCAACACTAGAAGTGTTGCGGTTAAACGCAGTCTGTCTAGTGTTGATAATAAAGACAATTTTTTTAAAACTTTTCTTTAAGTGTTTGATGAGGACGCGGACGTACTGTCGAAACGTTAAAAAACTTGAGTTTTGTATTTATACACCTTGAGTTGCAAGATTGATATTTTAACAACATATATTTATCTCATTATTTATTCTAAGTGATAAATTCCATACATGACAAAATTGTATATAATAATTTGAAATAATTTGATAATGAGCACTTTACTTACAAACAGCAGTTTTTAGTAGACTAGCAGAAAATCGATAGCCTCTACATGCGAAATTTGGATTAGCATAAAGTTGCGCAAACTTATTTTTTTGATGCACAAATGATATTTGTAGATTAAGGCAATTCTCTAAAATAATTAAAATATCTTATTTAAAAAATATTATTATTTTTATAATTAAAATTTTATTATTATTGCTATTATGTAAATTTACTTTTTATTATCTACACTGAAAAAAAAATATTTTTAATATTTGTCGAATAGCAAAAGGATTGCAAACATTTAAATGCAAGCTTTGCCTTTGTTTCTGTTAAAAAAGGTAATTTTTGTTTTCTTTATAATAAGGTTAATACTTATATCTTCCTGACATGAATAGTAACTAAATAAATATTACCTTATTTTACAAAAACAATTGCCGCATTTGCAATTCTTTGTTAATTAAGTAATAATTACTGAATTAAAAATTTAATTTTCAATATTTTTTATTTCAATGTAAGGATTATCAAAAAGTTCACAGATATGTCGTCTAAAAAATTACCTGCAGCTTCTAAAAGTGTAGAGAAAGTCTTGTTGTTATTCGATTCATATGAATCGGCTGGAGTACTACTTAATTTAAACACTGAAAAAAGTGTATTAGAGAAATTGTTATTATTGTT